CAGAGAAATTTCAAAAAAATCTTGAGACTTCAACATTCAATCTTAATATCAGAAAAATTAATTTTTTGTATATAAATTTTGAATATTTTTCAATTAATCTACAAAAAAAAAGCGCCTTTTTTAAATTTTGATGTGGACGATTCAAATTTTTGAAAATGCAAATCGTCTATTATTCCGTTCCTCCATCTTTTTCGTGCGTCTAGTAAACAAATGTCGATCCTTCTTAATAATCAAGACAACTATTAAGAGGATAGAATCAGTAATAATTCTTAAAAAGAGAAAATAACCTCGTTAAGTCCCAAATAGCGCCGAAAATTTTAAGGATCAAGACGGCAGACGTTATGTTTTTCTCATGTATATAAAATCTCTAGGAACATCTCGACTTACATCTTAACTCGTTATCGTTTTTACAATAATAGTTTTATCGTGAAACCGCAACCGAGAGCGAATACGACAAAAGAGAAGTTACAATACGCGCGGGTTTCTCACTTCCTCGAGAGATTCGTGTTTATAAAAAAGTTCCTAAATAGGTCCTTTAGGTCATAGATAAAGCCTTAAATAAACTTCGAGGACCCCAGAGACATGTAGGTCTTTGATATAGGCAACATCTCGACATAAATTAAATTCTATTACTAAATCTGAATCTTAGATGAATTCTTGGATCTATGAGTTCTTATATCCTTGGAATTGTAGATTGTTGAACTCTTAGATATTCGCGTCATAGGATTTATATAGATCCTCGAGGAAATTCTTAGATCCGAGGATTCTTCAAGTTTTCGATTATGTGATAACAAAGAGATCTCAAAATATTAAGACTCTTAACTTTTTTGCAATTAATTGTCATTTATCAACTGAAACGTTAATACTATATTCGAAAATATTATTTATTCGTTTCAAAATCAATTGTTTAAATTGATTGATACAGGATCTCGAGGAACGTTGAGAAATTCGCGAACACCGACTTGGCTATTCAGAGACAACGACACAACGCATTATAAAGTAATAATGATAATTAACGTTAATCGATTACTATACGATCACTCACATCGCGAGAGGTGATGACGATGATGATCATTTTGTACAGGCTGTCCACGAACTATTACATTTCCCTTAAGTATTCTAGCGGGACAAGAAAGTCAATGTACAATGTACAAATGTTTAAACGTCTTGACATTCCTGCCGCCTTCCCTTTTCCTCCTCTCCCTCCTCTTTCCTGACGTTCAAACAAGGGTCGTTGTCTTCGATTATCTCTCTAAAGTTTTGAGAAGCGCGATAGTTCGGGGACACTTGTAACTAGAAAAGTTAGGCGTTAAACAAGATACATCATTAAGAATGAAATTAACAAACCAAATGTGGTTAAGAAGAGTAGGTTAGTAGGTACTTTAGATTTATATATAAAAGAATGCTGAGAGAATATTTATGGAAATGAGAGCGAGAGAGAAAGAAAGAGAGAGAGAGAGAGAGAGATTAATGAATGAATTGCGAAAGGAAAAGCGTTAAAAAGACTCCGCATTTTCGACTGCCATTCGAGTTAGGAATGATACGTTATACCAACATGTCCGAGCGAACTTGTGCGATGTTTGTAGGAAACGAGTTATTATCGCTCTCATCGGAATCGTGTACAAGGTATCTAGACCAACCGCATTTTCTTCGATTTACAAACTTTTCGATTAATTTTAAATTAATTATTTCAAGAATTTAATGAAACATTATCTTTCTAACATTTTTTTTTTTAATTTTGTTATTACATATTTTTTCAGTATAATCAAACCTTTCTTAAAGTCTACTTAAAGTCTATTTAAAATTGTTTACGAAACAATCTTTTGTTGTATAATAGCAATTTCAAAGCTTTTTTTTCGATCGCTTATTAATTAAAAATTATGATACCTTGATATTGTTATTATGATACCTTGATATTATTGCTAAAATGTTTGCCAAAATCGATTTAACATTAACGATAAAATCAGCAGTTAAATCAAAGAAAGTGCCATTGATTTCTAAGGCCCCTGTATATTGTTCAACGTTACACTTACTTTTTAAAATTTATTATTATTATATTAAAAATTTGTAAACGTGATCAACTTTTCTTAAATGCGTGAATTTATTATATTAACTTCGTAGTATTGTCCAAACATTTGAACTGTACAATTCAAATGTTTGAAGATTGTATAAATTGTTTTAGATTAAAACTTGTCTAATGTTGATTGACATTAGTATATATTTCTGTTATTAACCTATTGGAGTGCTAAACCATCAAACGAGTTGTCACAATTATGGAGTAAAAAAAGTGGAATGGATAATTTATTTAATAAGCAAATTTAATTAACTTACGGAAGGAGATATTAAGAGTAACAAGAAATAATGAAATTATGAGAAAAAAATTGTAACTTTATATTAATTACCTTTTTGACTTTTAGAATCGAATGTAACTCCTTTCATAAGAAAAACATTTAAAATATAATAAAGAATAAAAGTCATGATGATCCTAGTAGATGTAAAATTAATGTGACAAGCTACTTTGATGGTTAAAATGAAATCTTTTGCCTTATTCAGCGTTAATGATTGTCGTATTTGTTCTTGACGGTAGCGTATGTTCGATATTGTTATTGAGGACCAGACTCTTCGTGATTTCGTTAAACCGAGAAGCAATACTGTCGATGCCTACAATTACTATTATCAAACGAGTGCTTAAGTATATAATGATCAACCTCATCCCGGAATTCTAATACGAGGTTATTGACCATTTAATTTCATATTATGTGTGTTTTATATTATAAAACCACCATTAGACATATTTCACTAAAATAATGTGAAACAAAATTATAATTTACTTATAATAAATATTTTATCACACACATATATATACACACACATATATTCATATACATATATACACACACATACGCAACATGTATATGTATGTATGTATATATATATATATATATCTTGAAAAACAATATTTTGAATTATATTGGTTATTATTGAGAGTAACTAGAATTCTAGGATTAACAGCGAAAAATCTGAAAACTTTTGTGACAACTTTTCGCAGAGAAAGAGAGAGAAAGAGTGAGATTGCGAGAGAGATCTCTATGACATCTCCGCGAAACAAAACTGAATATTTTATTTTAAAAGTATCCGTTGAGAGAAATAAAAATAATTGCATAATTGCTTAAGCTTGGGTTAATCTAATCTAATTTGAGATTATAAGTAAAATCTGAGCTTATTTTCTTTTATTAGCAAATATATCTGCGAAAAGGTGCCCTTAAATTAGAACGATTTAGAATAAAATTGTTTGGGAAATTTAGCAGCATCGAGTAGAATGAGAAAAAAATGAACGAGAATCGCACGAAGCTTGCTCGGAGTATGAATGGAAGGTCGTGAATGATCTAAAGCCTGGACTTTCGAAACTTGCGAACGAATTCATCGATTTGTAGAATCATGTTTTCCTAGACTTGACATTTCAAAGATTTTTAGATTCTTTGTTTTTTCGGTCATAAAATCAATAACCGAATTTTCTAAAATAAATAAATCTTTAGTTGCTCAGATATTTAAAAAATTTTTTTCTATCTTTTCAAGATTTTATATTTTGTTATAGAATCTGCAATTAAATATCGAGTATCTTGGTAAAAAAAAAATTAAAAAACTGTAAATATTAAATCCATTTATAACTTTCTCAAAGCTTATTTAAATTAGTATTTATGTGATCTAACAATTAAATTTAGAAAAACCTTTTTTTCTAAAGTAGGAGCAATGGAAATGTGACAAAAAACGTGATAAAATACGCGCATGTTAATTTTTTAGCTCTCATTTTCAATAATATTTTAATCGAAAAGCTCGAACAATACGATCTACGAGTGTATGTTTTTCCAACAGTGAAAATCGCTTGGATAAATATATAAAAGAATCCTACTTTGAGAAAAAGATAATGTTAATTTAGACGAATGAGTTGTGTATTAAAATTTAAATGAGTTCTGTTTACGAATTTAATTGTTAGATTATTTATTCTCTTTTTATGACTTGTTAAGTATTTGTGTGCATCTTTTGTTTTATAAAAAGACTAGAATTCAGAAATTCTCGCATCAAAGGATTATTTTGCGGATGAAGAAAAGAACATTGAAGAAAGACAGAAAGCTCGCGTGAACAAAGGAAAGCAAAGCAAAAAAAAGATGATAGCAGAGGAGTAAAACTCTTGTATAAAGTAGCAGTGCGTAGCGGCTAATCTAATCGATAAAGGAATGACACAAACGAGTTTATTGTTGAATATAATAATGTATTATGTAACATTATAAAAAAACAAAGTAAAAAAGGAGCAAAGAAGGAGGCAAACACGATGATAATATTATATTGTTGTTAGATATATATATATATATTATATATATACATATATGTATATATATACATATGTATATGTATGTATGTATATAACTTAGGTATTAAGTAACCACCCAACATTCACCCACACAAGTATACACTCTCGCAGGATATACAGGGTGTCTCGAAAAAAATGTATTCCAGTAGAGGAGACGCTTACTGCTCGAGTAAAATTTACGTTTGTTTTTTTCTAGCGATTCTAATCCGAAATATTTGTTGACAATTAATAAAAAGCGAAAATATATATAACTAAACGTATTTTATTTTCTTATTTCATCGAATACTTCCCCCTTACCAGTACCCCCTTACCAGTACTCCCTTACCAGAATTCTTATTGTTAAGCATAAATTTAAGAGATTAGGGTCCCCGGGAATTCAAGATTTTAGCACACTAAAGATATTGGTATCTGTCAATTCTTAAACAATAATATGTCAATCAAATTATGTTGCTGAAGAAATTGAGAATTTCATCAAAATACAATTCGCGAATTTTCGCTGTGTGTGCACATTATCTGTTTATGCATCAAAATTCGCATTTCGAAACTTGTACTAAGCAATTTTCATCGTGACACGATTTCAGAAATATCGACTTCAATGCATGTGACATCTCAGTACGCATAAAAAAGTCTCTCGAATTGTTGTGTTAGTTTTTTACGCGCATACACGTTAAAACTTTATTAAAACTTTCGCGAATACATAATTCAAATTTTTACGCACTTCTCAATTTTTTTATATTTCTTATATTTTTCTATTTTCTCGAACTTTGTCACAGCTTAATACGCATTGACTTCTTTTATATCTATATCTTAAATATTTTTAATATTTAAGAAAAATGTCAGACTCAGAAAAGACAAAATATTTTTAATTGTGTTAAATTAATACTGTGTTAATATTAACGGTGTGAAATAGAATGAAAACCAAGAATTAAATGTAACAAGTAACCGAAAATAAAGATGATCTATCATCGACAATATGTTGGCTTGCTTTTGCAAGTAATCTATTTTATCGCGAATTGCCTCGCGGAAAATTTAATACTTAATGTAAACTATAAAAAACCAATTGCCGTAACTAGTGACGCGTTTCTCAGTTTTACATTGGATCCAGCAACGTTGCTGCATAGCACCGATGCACTCACGTAAGTATTTAAATAATTAAAAAGAAGAAAAAAATTTACAAACATTAATAAAATATTAATTAAAAATAATCATTCTGTTTTGCAAGAATATTTTATTGAATTAATAACAAAGTTTTAGTTAATGTTTTGTCAATCTTTCAGAAACAAATTAATTTTTGACACATTTTTCAATTTTATTAAATATTTTAATTTTTTTATTAAATATTCTAAGCACAAACATTGTAATACTATTAGAAGTTTTTAATTGTTGTCGATAAAATACTAAATTTTGAGGATTATTTCTGTTATATATATATAATTACTGTCACATATATAAACACAATATAATACATTCATAAAATTTAAATTTTATTTTATTATGATCTATCTTTCTGTAATTGAGAATATAAAAGAAGATGTCAGTTTGCGCTCAGATACTCTGTGTGTATAAAAAAAGAAATGTATATTATCACAATCTGTATTAATCATTCAGCAAGAATATCGAGAGAAGCACAAACATGGCCCGAGGTTTGGTGCCTGCCTACATTCGTCTTGGAGGACCACAAAGCAACTCTTATATCTTCGAGAGAGCATATTTACATAATGCTGATGTCGATTCAAATAACACGCTTTTTGGTAAAGTATTACATTAAATATTTTAAATAAATTTTTCTTTGTAGATCTCTTAAGTAAACCCAGAAACTTTTAACGAACTTTTAACGATATATACCCGAAAATGTATCGTGTAAAAAAAATTTATAATTAGTTCCACTTAATATTAAATTAATCATAAAGATTGTTTTATTCCTTCTGTATCTTTTCTTGTGTAATAGTTGTGTTATATATATATTTATTATTTCATATAATAATTTTTATTTGTATATTTCGTTTTGTCATATAACTATTTTGTTAATATATAAATTATATAATTTATGAGATTATATTTTAATTAAAAATAACTTATAGATTCTCTAATAAAATAACTATATGACAATGAAATTTATATCATATAAAAAAAAACCAATTTTTTATTACATAATTTAATGCAATAGTTCGTTGATATATTTTATGTAAATATAAGAAACGTTGAAAAAACAATACTAGGCGATTACACCGAATCGAGAACTACATTGCAAAAATGACACAAGTAAACTCTTTAAACAAAAATATAAAGATTAATTGTTATTATATTTTCAATATGGCAATATTGTAATTTTTGACCATGCGGCGAGTCTAGTCATCAGAGTAGACAGACTAAAAGGATAGCAAGAACGATGTCAATGAATGAGGAGAGCGGCGCGATGACGTAATGCTAATGTCATTAATTCATTTTGAGGTTGCCAGTTATATGCACGTCCATTAGCCTTGATGGCAAGAACACCCAGTGAACGTCATAATGCAACGTCGACAAGCTCCGAGATAATAGTATGATCGCGAATTGCAAAAGCGTCGATGTAATATTTAAATTATTGCACTTGTGCAGAAGCGAATCAGTTAATATTTATACAGACTAACAAGGCAATATGTATACATATAAGGCTCGGCAAATTGTACATTTTATTTAAAACACAACTAGTATATACATATAAATCAAGGTTGAATAAATAATCATTTGCTGATGTAATTATAAATATAAACTTATTTTCGATTAGTATTGGTTAATCATTAATCAGCTTATTTCAGTAAATTCTTAAATATAAATCTTTATTTATGATTAATCGCATTTCGCGTATCTCTCTCTATTTTGTTTAATTAAAAGTTTTCGTTTAGTAAGCTAAAGCTTTAAAAAGAAACTAGAATATTTAATTCTTCTCTTAAGTAGCTAATTTATTTGAAAAACTATTTACCTATTATTTATTTAATTAGTTAAATCAAACTTTTATTGCCTCGCATGTAGAAAAGATGCGAAAAATAATATTGAAGAAATATATTGAAAAGTTGACCTTTGAAAATATATCAATCATCTGCATGTTTCAGGACATTATTATCTCAATTGTATTTCTCATAGAAAGATAAATTTTTAACAATTTAATAATTTTATATATAGAATGTGTGTGTGTGTGTGTGTGTGTGCGTGTGAGATTATCACTATTCTTTGTTTAGATCTAGATCGTTCTACAGAACGTTTGAATTTTACATTTTTTAATTTTGTAGAAAAGCAGTGGACACTGATACACCAATGGACGAAAAACGTCGGATTAGATTTGATCATATCCATCGCACCTCGATATATCGAGAATGAATCAAAAATGCATTCCAAAAATTCAACGAATATAACGGAGCTTCTCTCTTTTAGCGATTTCATGGGTTACAACGTCAGCTGGCAATTGGGTTATGGTAAAGTCTTCGAAAACTCTGTGTTTTTAAGATAATGATATATATAATTAGTATTTAATATTTAAAAACGCTTAAAATTTTGAAATTTTTAATTTTTCTTAAATATTTTTGGAAAATACATTTTTTAAATATTTTATGAATTGTTCTATAAAAAATATAACATATTTATATATTTCTAAAAT